CCCGAATCAGTTTCGCAAATTAAGAAGTAAGTTTATTTAATTATTATTGATTTAGAATATTTGCGAAAAACCGCGTACTCTGGTGTATTAGTCAGTCGGGGCGTTACAGCCGGCCCTTGCCGACCGTCCGGCAACAACTCCCGAACATACTGACCTCAAATGGCATAACATGAACACATGAACGGTTTAAACTGAAAAAATAAAGTTTGGCTCAATGGACTGAACTTGGCCGCGGCGGACGCACCGTGCGCCGCCGACGGCGTTAAGCCGTTTTACGTCCGAATCTCATTTACTATTGGCAAAATACACTTAACTGAACTTCGACATGATATACTGAACAATTGAACATGCTGGTTCGAAAGAATATCTACTTAGCAAATATGCTACTCGTGAACGGCCCGTGGCGCGTGCTACGTGCACGGCCACGCCCTTCGGCCGACACGACACTTTAAACATGAAATCTCTCCGAACACTTAAGCTAATCTGAACATGATATTACATATAAAGGCTAAACATACGAAAATTGTTCAGAGAATTCAACTTAGAACATGACATGACTCGCACGGCTTCTCGCACGGCCTTAACGACAAAAGACACGCATGAAAGCCGGAACTAAAAGCTGAATTCAATAAGCATGATATTCTCAGCCTTACAATCGCCGGGAATTACCTCCAACTAAGCTCGGGCGATAAGACTCCTCGGGTTCCCGTGATCGGCGTGACCTTCCGCTTGCGTGCCGTGTGATGCGCGTGTTCTCGGATCACCGTGCTTGTGTGCTGCTATGCGTGCGGTAGAGCTAACTAACTTGCGGTAGCCTTCTCTCCAAACTACTCTCTCTCTCACTCGGATATAAACATGAGGCTGAAGTATAACATGTATAAGAGGAAGAAATGGAGAGCAAAAATCTCCAACTCCCATCTATTTATATAACCGAATTAGGGAGGTGCTTGATGAGTTGTTTGGAGATTTCATAAGCTAATCACACTTGGAGTGAGGCAAGGCTTACTTAGGTGACTAATCACCAAGTTAATCCACACAATGACACGTTAACATTCTTATAAATGAAGAAAAGGTTGGACAAAACCCACTAATTTACCTCACAATAGCGTACGTCATTTGATGAATAAATTGAAATTTCCGTACGGTTTTTGTGGCTTTAATAAGTGATTAACTTGCTAATTAACCACTTAAACATGTTTAATTATTTAATTAAACATGATGCTTAATTACCAAAATTATTCCGAACGTAACCGGTACGTCGAAAATAATTTCCGGTAATTTAACGGAAATGACTGAAATAATTTAATTCTGAAAATTAATATCGGAACTAAAAACATGATTAACATGACGGAAAATCGCTGACTGAATAATTAATTCCGGACTCATTAATGAATCGGAATTAAATCTAGAAACCTATCCGGTTACTGAATTAATTAACCGAATAATATATCGACTTATAGTCGAACATAGAATATAACTGACTGATTAATCTGAATTTGAACATGAACATGACTATTTATTAATAAAGGCTAGCTTAAAACTAAAAGCTAGTATTTTCCTTTATTAATAAAATACGGGGCGTTACATGAACTACTGATTTGGAAATGTAAGTGCTGATATCTGTATCCTGATCAACTGAAAATTATATAAACAATTACTAAATACTATGCTCAGACTGATAAAAATAACTGTTTAATATGTTAAGATGCTCTACTGGACTTGACATGATATTTTGGAGTTTAATCGGTATAACCGGAACAGGTTCGACATGAACTGATCGGACATGAATTTACTGAACTGACCTGGACTCGGAATTTAACTGAAAATGGAATTCAAAACATGAACCGGGACTTAAATATTAAAATATAGACCGAACCGGTCTCAACCGGTCTGAACCGGCCTGGCCAATCGCCAGTCTGCTGGGGCCGGCCGGTCGGCGGCTGACTCGGCCTACGGCCTTGCTATGGCCGCAGCGCAACTGCTAGCTGGACTGGGTGCGGGCACGGCCGCTGCAGGGCCTGCCCTGACCACGGCCGAGGGTGTTGCGTGCACCTGGCCACGGCTGACGCGAGTTAGGCTCATCGGGCGTGAACTGGGGCAGTGCTGAACGCTATGTGCGTCCGCTACCATATGACTGGGCACAGTCGGGTGTTACGCACACCGCGACGTGCAGCTGAGTACTTAAGGGTGCCTATCGGCGCTAGCTGGGCATGATTGGCACCGTGCGGGCGTTGTCGTGCGATACCCACGGTGCTGGATACTCGGGCAGCTTGCTGGGCACTGCCGAGGCCACTGACATGCGACGCTGCGCGCTGGCGGGCATTACCACACGCTGGCGTGCACGACCGGCCCTTGGCGTGCGTACGCGCTGTTGTCGTATGATTCTTAACAACGATATACCAAATGATTTAGGTGATAATTGTTAGCGATTTGAACGTAAAGCATGTAAGAACAACTCAACAATGGCCCCGGTCCGAGGTGGACCGAGGTGAAAAGCCTTTATGGGCTATTGCACGTTGCATATTAATGAGTTCGGGATTGATCCCGTACAAGTGTCATAGGTTAGCTATTTATAGTAACTTTTTATGTACATATCGGGATTTGTGCATTTGCTTTTTCATAAAGCTACTTTTTAGTGGGCGGCGAGATCTGTGGATCCCACTTTAATGATGACAAATCTCGTAAGTCGCGATAGGAGTGCGTAGGCGCCTTGTCACCTACTTTAAGAGGTGAGACCTCGGTTCGTGCTTGCCTCGGTTTGGTGTGACTTCGGTAGGTATAGGTTACTTCGGTCTTCGGTAGCTCAGACCGGTTCATTGCGCGGACTAGCACGGCTTTGGATCACGCCGGTTCGATGGTTAATTTCACTTAATATGATGTTTAAGACTCCTTAACAATGCTTTGCCGAGTTGGATGATAATAGAGAGGCCCCCAATATCGGCGATCATACGGAGTGATGGTCGTCGATGTTGCAAAAGATGGGTTGAGGTCCGACTTGGCTGCAGTCTGTACGGGAAACTCGCTCGTGTTAAGATGCTCGTGACAGAAAAATTACCGAGGTGAATTGTTTTTACCGAAGTGGGTGTTAATTTCCGGGGTGAGAACGCTTGGTGAAAATCCTGTGCTGAATCTGCGATGCGATGTGATGTTTCTGACGAGACATAACGGTCGGCTAATATAAGGGCGTTGTGCGAAGGGTTGCGCCGTAACAGTCATTAAAGGAATAACGGTAAATCGCAATAAAATAATGGCCATTTAATTGCGCCGTTTGGAGAGGACAAGTCGCGTCTATTGGGGATCCAACGGTTATAAATTAGGTCTTATAAATAGGGCATCAGAATTTTCGATTAGCTTTTCTTCACTTTTGCTTTCGCTTCTGATTTCTTGCATACAGTAGTCTTGTTGTTGAAATTCCTTTGAGAGTTCGAGAGTTGTTCCCTGCGCATTGTTTGTTTGTGGACTTTTCAGTAAGCTCATTCTTTAATTCTTTCTTTATTCGCTTTGCACTTTGCTCTACTGTGCGATGACGTCGAAGAGAAAGGGTAAGGCGGTGGCAAGTTCGTCTAGTACTGAGTCAGTTCCGTTGGAAGTATATCACGACTCAGAACTAGTTGAATTAGCTTTTGAATACCACCGATGGGATCCGACGTTGGTGAGGCATTTAGCATTAAGCCGAATGACGAGGATGGTAACCTCGTTGTAGAACATAACGCGGCGTTGGTGAGGACATGGCCTGACCCGAAGGTTGATTTTGAGGGTGAACCGAGTATCTTGACTGATGCTGATGTTGTGTTGCTGCGAGAGCAGGTGCGGATTCCGCCCTCGGTGAAGATTTTCGCCCCTTACCCCGGGGAGAGAATAACAAGCCCTCCTCCGGGTTGTGTGGGTATATTTACGGAAAGCTTGAGGTCGGGATTGAGATTCCCGTTACCGAATTTGATCACAGAATACCTCCGGAGTTGGGAGTTGCCGTTTTGCCAGATTACTCCCAACAGTTGGAAGAAGATTATTGGTCTGATGGTGTTGCTGCACGAGCAGGGTGAGGGGCTACCATCGTGCGAGGAGATGAGAAGTATTTTTGCCTTTAAACAAAGTCCGAAGAGGAGGGTTGCCGAATCCTCATGCTGTTTCTTTGCCGGAGCGAAACCGCAGCACGACATTAAGGTCGGAGAAATAATAACTGAGATCCCGGAGACTCTTCACGG